AATTGATTACTCAAAGGGGAGGGGTGGCGGAGGCAGTATGTTATTTAAAAGTTTGCCTTTTTCATTGTTTCAAATTTTGTAAAATAGTGAGTTGGAGCATCATCACAATTACAACATCAACACACATTTATTATCATTTCTTAAAAACAAAAACTTCACTTATCCATACGAATTAGTTTATTGTTGACAAAGCAAGAACATTTACTTAATAACTCATTGAAGTTTTGGTTGTAAGAGGATATCAAACTACATGACTGAGCAGCATTTGCCGCATCTCCTTTTCAATCTCTGGGTTGCTGCTGAAGATGCAATGGTTTTTGTGCAATTTTCTAGGAAATGCAACTTACGTTTAGATTTAGGCGTGCGACTGGCTAACTTTGATAATGGAACTACTCCTTCCTGAGTCGGTTCCTATAAGTTCGGAACTCTTTCTGATGTTACTTACTTTAGTGATGGTTTTTAGCTTCAAGGTCTGAGCTTTGAAGAGAAAAAACCTCATGTTCATACCCGCTTTTGTTCCGGCTGTGAGTCGCTCTTTTTCTGGCTAGACTTTTCTAAAACTTTATCCTTATCTCCCGTCTTATCCGTAGACTTCTCTTTTTCTCTAGTCTTTTCTCCATCTTTGGACTCCAACTCTTTTCCTTCTGACTTCTTCAATGGAGATATTTTTGGAGAGCCGGACTTTTGTTCTTTTTCTTTCCCTTTCACTTTCTCCTTGTCCTTCTCCTTCTTCTCCTTATCCTCGTCCGTTTTCTTGTTTAGTTCTTTCGTTTCCTTACTCGCTGTCTTTTCTTTAGATTTCTAGAATCCAGCAGTTACTACAGAAAGTATATGGAATTTGGTCCACTTACTGCCTTTTCTTCCTTCTTCGACCTGAACATCGAATTTTATATCATTATGTGTCATTGTGGTTAAGTAATTCAAAGGTGCTTAAGCTCATCGTTCATGCAGTTATGCGTGAACTTACATATTGACAAAGGCTTTGTGCGAAACAAAAATTTTAGCATATACAATACCGCTCATAACTTTTGCAAAAGA